GTTTATAGTTATATCAGTAAGTTCCCTAGGTTTTAGGCCCAAAGAGGTAATTAATGAGAGTACTAGACCACGAACCTATTGGAAACGTGGGTTTGATTTTATAATTCACTTCATTCCAAATGCAATGCCGAAATCTTGTATGAACTCCAAATGAAGCAGGAAATTGGTGAATTTAAACAAAGCGCCTATTTGATGAGACTAACAAGAGTCCCATCCACTTTGTGGCAATAAATAGTAAAAACCTTTCCTTATTTAAGGTATACTTCTACTTGTTGGAGGAGGCGCAAGGGGTGTTCTTTGTACTTTAAGGAAGTTTAACTTTTTATGGCTCCAAAACTGCCGAGTAGTTAAAAGTTCATGCGATTCCTCAATGAAGCCCCCAACAATGACTTGCTGGAAATGTGATCAGCTTGCAACAACTCCGTGGCTGAGTTGACGCCACCCATTACCAAGGGGGATGAGGAGATGTGCATTGAACTCCCACTAAAGTACGTTAATTGTTGAGCCCAGCTTGCTACACCTTGTAAGGTACCTTCATCCGGCCAATCCTTCCAAATTAAAGTTTCATTAACCGGAGATAGACGTCCTTTTGCCCTTCACAAAGAGTAGGTACTTCAACAAATGCCTCGAGCACACAAAATTTTATCCTCTGCTTCTACACCCAACGACAAAAACAGAGCAGCTCTTACGCGCTCTTCAGTAGAACTTTTTTCGACCGCTGTGAAAGCTGAGATAACCTCCGATGGTGATGGATTACCCATGGAAAATTACAAGACAGGGGGAAAGGTACATATAGAATAATTTATCTACACTCTACCACTTGGAAGAAGTCGTGGAAACTACTAAGCACCTCTACGTCACATGCTAGACACTAATCAATGTTTGACTTGCAATGCGAACTGTCGTTCAATTCGCAACGCCAAGTGAACGCGTACTATCCACCTCCTCACTTTCTGGAGAAAAAACTACTATTTTCCCTCCAATATGCCTATCTACCTACCTGAGGCAGCTGGACACACCTCAAAGACGTGCCCAACACAACTGAGGATTTTCAACTAATCAGACGAAAGCCTTGATCCTAGGAAGCCACACAATGCACAACCTCCTCCCTAAAAATTTATCAGTGAGATTCACACCTTAAAGACCAATTATTTCACCAGGAAAAAAACCACTACTTTTTGTCCTTGTTCTAGCTAGCATTAGCAGAGCATAGATGAAAAATGTAATTCCTCCCCCTTTTTTGTTTTAACGCACCGGAGAACATTAATGACTTCTCGGTGAGCGGAGACGCTGAAGGCACAATCGGAGAGCCACCTTTTCACCTTGCCAAACTGGGCATTAACATGTTGCAGCTTCGCTTCGTGTTGGGCAAATTTGTCCGTATTCTCCACCAGGTATTGGTAGTGCTGCTACAAGGTGGACAGAAGGGATTCTAATTACCGCACATGACCAAAACAAAAAAGGAACTCCAGCAGGTATTAAAATATTTCACCTTCTAATTTTATTTCGTATGGGTGAAAAAGTTTCCCAAAAAACGTTTGATAGACTTGAAATCGAGCAACTAATAGGTCGATGGAATGTTAGAGAATATGCTAAAAGCAAATGAAATCGCACACAATCACATAATTGCTAGATAAAGAAAAGGCGAAAATCTACTGCCTCTAATTTTTTTTGCTGAAAAGAAGAAGCGGATGAAGGAAATATTATACTGCCTAAGGAAAACTTCCGTTTGTGGACAAATTGACCGCTATTTAGCCTTCTCAAGTATGCCCGAAAGGCGACTGATCGGATATATGCACTGATGCAGATGCCAGAACTTTGAGTTGCAAACACGGCTTGTAAAATGCCCCTTTGCGTTTCGCCTACAGTTCTTTTTTACCTTAAGAGAGAGGAAAAATGGGAAAAAGAGCCTACACAGCGCCTATATGCGCCGTTTGCGTTTTGAAAATGCCTACCTCAGTGAGGAGGCGTTGCGGATTCTCTAACACAGGCAAAAATCGCTTTGGAGGGGACTACCAAAATTGTTTCCTGCTAGACTCCACTTATCACACGCCCAACCAACAGTCAAAGTAGGAGATAGTGAGGCGAAGAGAAATTGAAATGAAACTTGCACAATTACAAATTGTTAACGCTTTTTCTTGCTAAACTACGGAAATAGGGAATGAAGGGAGTGAGTGACAAGTAGGATGGGAAGCAGACAGCGGCAGGGGCCAAATGAGATAGGCAGGGTTGGAGGATAAACATATGGGTAGTATTTCAGTAGGTCAGGCTATAGCTGTGAGATCAAAGAATGTACTTCAACACTGGGGTCATTTCAGGTCAAAATGAGCTAAAAAGCGGGCTGTCTAAAAACACTACAAAACCCAACTTTCAAACGTTTTATTATCAAAAAGAAAAAAATCTACAAAAGGGACACGCCAATGGGTACTGATAGAAGAAAGGGGATGGGAAGAAAACGTACTCTTAATTCCTGGAGAAAGGTACGTTTTGTCTCCATCTGTGACTCCAATTCATCAATTTTTGCTATCGCGGTGTTCAAAGCGCTGAGGTCGAAGGTGTCAGCTAAGTCCACACGATCAGTAGTAAGGAGATGAAGGCAAGTCTCGGAGACAGATCGCTGTTTCAGCCCTGTCAATGATCTCGGCCCAGACGAGTCAGTCAATAGTGAGATCATGGACATAGACATAGGCGTCAGACGCCGTAAGGAGGAGTCAGTGGGTTTCGTGTAGTCACAATTTTGTAGACCAAATATTTTCACTGTGACTCTTTGAAGCCATTCCAGCAGTTCCTCACAACCCTCCGAGATTATGATCGCTTTAAGGGAGGAAAAATACAAATCCCTTGAAGCATTATGAAAGTCTGCGCAATGCTCATGTGATTCGACCTTTACACTGTGCTGATTACGCAGAGTTCTATCCAGCTTCCTCAAGCTATCAGTCTCCCAGACCTTCTGTGCTTGTTTATACTTCAAATAGGACAAGTAATGAGGTTGGTGAATTCGTAAAACAACCGATAAATTAAATGCACCAAAACAGTTCTACATTTTTATCAGACAACTAAAAAACCTGGCCGTGTTTTTGGAAAGGGGTAATCGGCATTGCCTCTTACGGCTTCCAGAACCACTTACTATGCATAGATAGATATGAGTCCGTTGCTGTCCTCTCCACTGGTTTCCCATTCTATCTAATTCATCCCTTCATATCATCTGATGTCGGTTAAAACATGTCCACATCGGGGAACAAGTTGAGGTGGAGGAGCTTTTCGTGGAATATTCTGTATGGAATTTGAAGAAGACGGGGTCTGTGTTGTCGCCTCGAAATGGTTTAAGATAGTTGAGCTTTGAGGTGACAGAGCGGATACTGATGTAACAACCCGGAAAAGATTCACCGCTACTGGGTCAAATATTTGCTGAATAACTCACTGATAAAAATTTCAAGGGTGGTTGATGTAAGTGATGAAGCAATTATAAGCGAAAATTGTGACAAGGGCTAAGCAAATGGATGCCACGTGATGTGATTTGACAGCGGATGACAGGAAACTTCAAGGGCTTTCTGCCGATTGCTGCTTAAGTGATCAGTAATAGGAAGTAACTTTGACAAACAGCGAGCATTTCGTCTATTTTCTCTGAATGCTTCAACCTTAATCTTCCAACATTGCAAAGGAACGCGATGCGTGTTTGTGTATGTGTGTGGAGAATGACTCCTTACCGAAACTTCCAATGTTCTCTCTATAGGAACCGAAAGACAATTGTGCTGTGCTAAAATATAGTTCGAATGAGGTGCCAAAAAACTACTTCTTCAGAAAGAGTCAGTACTTCCATAGCCAGCATATCAATCCGGATTGCCATGTCTTGTCATTATTCCCGCAGGACAGCACAAAGCAAGATCTTATACATTACCTTAGAATGGAAGGCGAATACTGACTCCTCCTCTATGCCCTCCCCATATCTCTCCATAAGCTGTGATTATCATTTCTGCTTAGTCTTAGACAATCACATGCAAAGTAGAATAGACCGTTGAGAAATAACAGTGTGACGGCTGAAAATGGGTTTCTCCGTCTTCTATTAGGGATAATTCGCAAATATGTCTCAGTAAAGAAGGAAGCACGAAAAGAGACAACTAAAAGAACTTATTTAAGCAATACCAAATAGAGAAGATGTAAGTTATGCCAAGTAAATGGGAGGTAGGCAGCATTCGTCTCCGCTTGAACACGCATAAATTTGTATCAACAGACAAGCAGCCCATCCAACTCTACCTCTACTTTTTTTATTTTCTATCTGCCTTCTTTTCTTTTTTACCCTATTAGTTCTCACTCACCTCGATACACTTCAACCAGTTTACTACCCTGAAGTGAGAGTGTTGTGTTTAATTCATTCCACAAGTTCATAGTCCCGTCAAGGGCTTCCTGCAGGTACACCGAAGCGGCCGGATTTTCCCCTATCGTTGATTGCACATTCTGTAAGGATGACAGTGCTAGGCAATTGCATTTTCATCAATGAAAAGGAAAGAATTCCAAATAAACAGTTACTCATAAATAAAAATGCTATTTTCTGCTTATATCTTGCTGTGTCAGAAAAAAACAAATTGGACCAACTTGGCGGGAAAGTGGGAATTAACTGCTAAATAAGTGGAGGAAATGCATCTAGTGAGGTTAAGAGAATACCTGAAAGATTTCATTGGCTAGTAATCCGTAGCTCTTCACTTCTGCCTCAAAATTCCTGAACAGGTGATATTTCTGAATGGCCTTTTGCTCCTGCAGCATTGCATCAGTTGCTGCAAATTGCGCATTTACCGTCGCCTGACGCTCCAAAATCCACTCCTCCATCTTGAGGATATGCACAGAAGAAGATTAAATTACTTGCAAGGGTAAATATTCGTCTGTAAATTAAAACTACTGCAAGTTGACTGTCAGAATTTTTAATCGTTAACCTAAATGACATACAGCTGTGACACAAGACCTGACGGCATCAAATCATGCTGTTAGATTATAATTTGAGCTGTGAACGACACAAAAATGTAGTCAGCGGCTGATTTGAGTGAAGTTATAGTCTGTTTTACCTTTTAAGAGGCACAAATAGGAAAGAGTGGTAAAATGTTAAGGAGATGGGCTATTATCCTTGACCCTGACTCCAAACGTCCCGAACAAATTGCCCACTTTGGTCCCACCAAAGTAGCCAATTAAGCTGATTGTCTAGTTTAACAGCCCAAAAATTCCCGCTTCCTTTTAAAGATAATTCAAGCTGCTGGGATAATATTGTGGACCATTTTTGTAAGGGATGAGGTCGATCGTGAGGACTACGGCGCAGTCAAGTCACGCAATGATTTGAACTTTTTGCGACAAATGAAATACTCAGCGCTTCCTTTTGGGCCAAATCAAAAGTTTGGCCCCTTTCCGTTCTCATAGATGAGGTAGGTTCAGAGAAACAGTTATATTTCTTTGTGAAGAGAGGGAAATTTTTCCAATCCCGCTTCATTTGAGGGACTGGCTGCCAAAACTTTCACCTTTGTTCATCAACTTTTATGGCAATTTTTACATAGACGTGTTCTTAGCCGTCTAAATTTGTAAAAGTTAGGGGAAAATGCACCCTATTAATTGATAATCCAATGCAGAAAATAGACCACAGAAATTGCTTAGCTTAATATTAGCGAAAAGCCAATTCCCTAATAATGACTGTCACGTCTACGGGAGATTAATAGCGGTGTTTGCATTGCGAACGTCGGAAAAACATCCGATTTAGAAGTTCTAAGAACAGAAAGAGGGAAATTTGTTTGAGGACGTACGCTCTCCAGTTGGTTTAACTTCTCCTTCTCCGTGAGGCGAAATTCCAGCAAACGAAGGGCGTTGGCAGCTTTCTCTTCAATGCTTGTGTATCTATATTTCCCCAAAGCAAAATGGTACAATTCAATCCAGCAGTGATTGAAAAATGCATAATTCTACAAGGTTTGATTGGTAGATTCGCCTGTTGTTCTAGTCATTAAGCCAAAAATAAGGTAAAACTTGATAGTTTTTGGGTCAATGAAGAGCATCCACTTCAACTAATCACATTTATTTAAATGGGGAACTTTTGAAACAGTAGTCTCACAAGTTTTGGAAATTTTGATACAAAAAGGTGGTAAAAAGATGACTGCTTCATTTTGTCATTTCATCCTCAACCACAAAGCTTGTCATTCTGTTGTCATGTCATTCTGACCAAGTCATCAGCAATGAAGTTTCCCACTTTATTAATGCCTTCATGGTCCAAAGTGTTGGAAAACCACTACCAGAAAGATCACAAAAGTTGGTTTTTTTCCTCAGGGAAACTGACGTTTATTAGGACCTTTTTCACTAAATCGAACACTCCATTTGTGGATCGCAAGATAAACGGTACAAGTTGTAAAAATTGCTACTTTCGTCTAAGAAAATACCCTCGTTTTACAAGAAGGAAAAGTTCCGCTTTGTTGACTATCCCGATGTATCAAAAATTAACTAGGGCTTCAATATTCATGTCCATATTCGGTCGTTTTGACGTCGGGACTGTGGGGTGGGTGGGGTGCGGGAAGAGGGAGGTTCGAGACGAGAGAAGAGAATGCCTTGTGCTTGCAAAGTTCCTTCAATTATCACTGTGTTAATCAGGGAATTATTATGCAAGTGCCGATTTACCTGTATACACTCCCACCTAAGGCAGTTTGTGTGGCAAAGCTTATCTCAACTCAATCTCAACACACTCGTCTGTATGTCTACTAGTGTTTTGCACAAAATGGGGAAATCAGCTTTCCCTGTATAAACACGTTACACATTTCGTCTGCAAATATCATAATTGATTTCAAAAATCCACCTTAGCTATAGCATGGACGTAACCACTGAAGCTCTGTAAAATGACTTAACTAGCAGTTTATACTCTCTTCGGTGGAACTTATTGATTTAAACCTGAAGGACTGGTAGTTGTACCTCATTGTAACAGCCCTCACTCTGGAATCGTACTTTTCACCAAATTTATGTTCATCCGCCTTTAATTGCAGCAGCCTCACTTGATCGGAGAGGGCTTGAATTGACATAACCACTTGTTTTTGTGTCATGATTTTGCATCGAATGCACTCAATTGTTGGCTAAAATGCACAAACCGAGGGAGTCAGTAAAGAGGATATTTACAGAATGGGAAAAAAGGAAGGAGAAATTGGCAACAAACCAGATAGTCAGTTTCAACAATTTGATTCTCCTTACGACTGAGCGAGGCATTCAACCCTTCGATATCGCGAAGGAGGACCTGGAATCATTTTTTGCAAAACAAGTCAAAACATTTATGTGAGTTCATTTTTCCCCGAAGTACTTTTTTAAAGCTTGTGAGTATTCAGTTGCCATCACTTGCTGGCATTTGTTATTTACCGATAAAGTATTCATATACTACTTATAAAACCTATAGAGTAGATGCTGAATGTACCGAGTTAAAGCAATAAAACGTCTTTTATCCTCGAAAAAGATTGCGGAAGTATTTCGTGGAACACTTCCGTTGCTCTTGAATGCTTGTGAATTAAAAATAACGCTATTTAATTGTTTGGTATTGTATCTAATTTAAATAATGCACTGAAATTTGGAGCATAAAAGTGTTGCGAAACATTTTTCCGATAGAACCTGCATCTTTCTTACACAGCCAAAAATAATGTACCTATTACAAGTGCAACCTTTCCCATTATTTTCCTTTTCATTCAAGGGAAGTTATCTGGGGTTGCTCTCCTGCCTCAATTCATGCTGTAGGATTTGACGGATAAACTTCTGGTGAAGAAGTGCATAATTTTGAGGTGTCGGCAGTGGCAAATTTAAAATCTACCATAATTAACGGGTTAAAAAAAATAGAAGGTTTCCTTTTCTAATTAAGCCTTCTTAGGACGCACGACTTTAGAGGTGCCTACTTCAAAGAGTGCATCATCAATCTCCAAAACCTACCAAAATCAATACAGACAGTTACAAGTTACTGTGGTAGAAATAAAATGCTAATTTTTTACAAGAAATAAATGTGCCGCTAAGGCCCTACTTTGATGTCCCGTTGGTGCGCTAGACATCTCAGCTGATGATTGCACAGGATGAGTAGATCTGACCACTCGCATTTGAGGGTGTCGAGCCTCTCTGTGACCGTTGCTGCGACAGCCTCCTCCTGACTTGCGGCCATATCCTTCCCGTTCACCACTAAGGCCTCCAATTTGTCATTTAGCGCCTCCAACTCGGTGGCGGTGGTTCGGAAGACCTCCTGCTGTTCGTCAATTTCACTGATGGAGGAGGGTAGCTCCAAAGAAGTGATCGTGTTATGCTTGCTCATCAGTATGATGTGCATTGTCTCCAACTCCTTAAGAATAAAGCAGGGGGAACGTTGTGCCAGTCAAGACGTCTTTTCTGCTGTGCTGGTACACCAAATTGCAACACCAGTTCCATTCGATAAGAATCCAGCAATATGCGTACGTCAGCGTGATCAACTTATGTAAATAATTTCATTATTTTTAACTTTTATGCTCGATAAAAGGACTTGGAATTTCCCTTTTTAAGCACAAGTCCAGTTAACAAGTTTTTAAATTATTTACAAAGATGTGATGATTAAGTAGAAAAACTCAAAACACCAGTGAATGTAGGCGAAGCCAAACCTAAAAGCCGAACATAATCAGCCACTTGACTTTCAAAATTTTTAATATTCTATACCAAAAAGAGGTTTTCGGAGGGAAGGGGAGGAGAGTGAGGAGGAAAACCTCCTCATTGGGCAGTTTGACGGGAGGAAGCTTTCTTTCATGAATTTTGAATATCTGGCACGAATTTTTGAAAATGGGCAACAAATAAAAATAGAGGAAAAGCATTTGCTTAATACAGAAACTATATGTTTTTAAATATTATTAGAAAGTTGATGTATTTAAAACTTGTTTGATGCTGTGGCAACAGTATGACACATTGACCAATCATATGCGTGCCTGATAAAGTTATCATTTCAACATAAATTTCCTTTATTTTTGAAGTAAAAACGGCGTTAATTTCCCTTATTAAAAGTCCTTCTAGAAGAAGGTGTCCTCTTTTACCTGCAGCATACTTTGAAAGGCTAGTGAAGCCTCAAGTCCTTTCTGATATTCCTCAAGGAGGCCCACGAACTCGTCCCAATCTGAGCGCAATGCCGAGCTAAACTCTTCCAGGGTCAACTTTGCGCCACGTATAGCCACTCCACTCTCTGGCTCCGCACTCAAAGGCGATTGAAGTTCCTCCAATGCGGTGCTCAAAGCGTCTGCCTCCTCAAACACCTGACATACTTGCTCCTTGAGAGCACTCAGGTCAGTCTCCCAACCAACCATTCGGCATTCCATGCGAATCATCTCTCCCATGTTGTTCTTCGTCTCACCTATTGTGAGAAGTAACTCCTTCTTGTGTTGCACCCAACGCTGGGTGTCGGATAACTCCCCGCTGAGATGTACAAGACGATTGGCAGTATCAACGGAGAGGCGCTTCATCCTGACGAAGTGAATAAGATCATTCCAGACATTGAAGGTGTACTCAAGGAGAGCGTTCCACAAGGGATCACTGACAAGGCGAACTCGAAAATCTTGGAGGATAGGAAGAGATTCTCGGGTGTGGAAATCAATCTCCTTTTCCAATGCCACAAGGAAAGGTTCATTCATTGTAAGGGGATAGAACTCGGTGCACGCTTTTATGGACAGATGGAGGAATGGGGACTCAATTTCTTCGAGATATTTTTGACTGAAAAAGACAAAAGTGATATCACAGATAATGGGCGAGCATTAAATAATTAAATAAGTTTCTACAAGTACCTTAAAAATGATCCTCAAATTGACTTTACAAATTTTTCTTAACTTCTGAAAAGCAAATGCCGGGAGGGGAAGAAAATTGACCGAGTGACAAATTGAGTTACAAACAAATGATTGTTTGTCCAGAAAATGCATTATTCAGTTTCCTTAAATTGAACTTTAAAAGACTACCAATATTATCCACAAGAGATTAAGTTAAAGCATTTTACAAAACAAATAATCAGTGTCTGAAATCCAGGGTAGGAAGGAGAGAGCGATTCAAAACAAAATTGCCTTTCAGGAGGTGACTAAAACGTTCGGCTTGGCTGCAATGAAGTAGTGCAACTCGCGACCAAAAAGCCTGTAAAGCACATGAAGTATAAAGGCTGGAAATGTGTTGTTTTATCGGTGCATCAGTACCTATTGTACCATCCCCGATACCCATCCTTGTTATGAGCCCACTCTCCCAGTCTCAAGTGGTGGTCCAACCCGCTAGATGGCAATCCACCTTGTCTACTTCACGATTTGAGTTGAAGTTGGTTACACCAATGTGGCACATTTTTGCGGTGTCTGCTTTATAGTACATGGAGGATGTTGGGTGTGCGACAGCCTAGTGTATCATCCAGAAGTGGAAGAGATAAATCCGATGGAGATGTATCGCCATCAAGAAGAAGCCCCAGTAGTACTACCACAATTAGCTTTTACTTGCCTTTATGCAAATAACTGTCACACGACACATGCTATCAAATGGCAAGAGCATTCAGAGTATCAAATCCACATGCCCCCTTTCTCTGATCTTCCTCCTCTCGGTGATTACCCTCCTTTCCTGTCATTAAACAACTGCGGTAAGAACGGAGAGTCAAAATGTAGAGGTAAAAGAAGAGAATGTAAGAGGTGACTTTGCATTACGGAACAATAATGTGCTCTTCTGCTACCAACACAGAGACTATTCAGCTCTCCAACCACACCACTGGAACGTTCTTTTTGTTCACGAAATGTCATGATGGCATAATTCTGCCACTTCTCTACTACTTCCTCAAATTACATCAAAAATGACACCAAGTTTAATGACAATTCCCAATACATTTAATTTGCTATAGAAAAACTTTTTCCTTTCTTCCTTTTTATGAGCAGAGCTAATGAAAATGTTACATGCTCAGTTCACCAAGGGCCATTAGTCAAGCGCTTTGGAGTAGTGTTGTTCCCCACAATCGCTTCAAATTCATCCGTTAAAGTTCGTACTTTAATGGATGCATTTGGCCTAGAAGTGTTGCCTCAGTCCCCCCTATCTCTACCTACTCTTGTGTCTTTAACACCGGAATTCGTTCAAAAGGTAGGGAGAGAAATTAGACGCATGCGGTTTCCCACCTTCGGTGAATCCATTGCAGCAATTCGTAGCACCTCTGAATAGCATGTATGTTCGCCTGCTCCGCAAGAAGCTGTTCATGTCGCGTAGTGGCTTTCTGATTAACCTCATTCAAACCTTGATGTAATTTATCTAGCTCCACATAAATGGTTGTGCGCATCTGGGCTGTTATTCGCTGGAAACTTTTGGCACTATCTTCATTTGGTTGGCCTTCGGGATTGACATCGGTGGTTAAAAGAAATCGGTGTTCGATCTCCTCCAGAACGTTTCGCAATTCAATTATCCTTTCTAGCATCTGAGAAAAATGAATGCGTTTTTCAGTTCATTTACAGGTTATAATGTCAAATTTATTGTGCATCTGTCATGTGTCCTATGATTTGTCGTTTGGGTGGCATGCGAAGTCAATGTCAACGTGGCTCACATATTTCGAAAGATTTTAAGACACCATTAATGGGAAAGGGGAAAAACTAGACTTTTGAAAATCATATTAGTAAAAGTAGTAGTTTCTATAAAAAAGGCATAGTAATACATAAATATTAGTATCTACCGAATTTGACAGCAGATTTCAGTAGCACGTGTGCCATTTCGTGTAATCCGCGCTTGCTGAGTAAAAACGATTTGTAAGGAAGCTTAATTTGCTGTTTTTATCACTTTTAGATGAAAACAAACCTAAAAACTCTTCAGCATTTGTAAAACGGGTACTTTTGTTGAGAGAGGGCGAAAACGACAGTTTGGCCATGGCAGTGAAGGTAACGTATGAAAACAAATAGTAAAATACATGTGTGAGAGTAATTTCCTTCCCTACTCTACACCTCTCTGCAGTACATAGGTTGAGCGTCTAAAAGCCCTGTAGACCTAAGTTGACTGTACGGTTAGAGAGTCAATTTAAAGGCAGAAGATTTTCCTTGCTTAATTTGAACTCTCTCTACCTCTATACTTTGCACTCATGGAGGGGAAAAGGCCAAACTGAATCGGGAAGCAACATACCACACATTTTTGTTTAATTCTTGATTCAATGTGCAAGCGTTTCGAGAATACCGTGTCCATGCGAAGGAGACCCTCCCACCAGCACTCGCTTGCCACATCAAGGCCGTCCAATAGCTCTGTCAAAACGTCTGGAATGGGAGATTCCATAAAGTAGGCCAATTTGTGATGAATCCACTCAGTTATCTCATTAGCCTCGACCTGAATTTGTGGTATGAAGGTGAGAAGATCCACTACCATCTTAAGAGTGGATAGTTCTCGATGCAGCTTCTCTGTCTCCGCGTAGAGCATTGCTCTCTTCCCTTCCAATTCGATATTTTGCAGGGCCAACTTCTCTTGAATACCTGCCTTCAACTGTCGTATAACATCCAGGCCTATTAAATGACGTAGCTGGAATTCTTGGTGAATTCGTACCACAGTGGCATTCCGTTGAATCCTCCGTGATCCACAATCAATCAGGCCTTCTGGTCTAGTCTCGAGGCTTCTACATCTCCTGATTAACAATGACTTTGACAATTTTGTTGACTGTTGCGAATGCCTGGCATTTTGGTATTGATTTCGTGGCACTCCATTGTCAGTGTAGTGAGTGGGAGGACTGCGTTCAGCAGTTTGGCGGTCAACCTCGTGGATAAGAAGTCTCACTTTATTTCGGATGGAGACAAGGGAATCGAGGCATTCGTTGTTAAACACACTGATTTGTGCTTGTTCTATCAACACTGATAAGGCACGAATATGTTCCATCTGGTCCTACAAAAAGAAAAGCACATTTCCTTACTTTATTCCTTAAAAATGTCAAGATTTATCTTTTTGTGTGAGTAAAAATGGACTATGAATAATGTAGGCAAATCTCACCTTGGTGGTGGTTAAATTTTTACAGATTTTGCGATACAAAGCGGCACTTTTTGCGATTTCGCAGAAAAAATTTTTATAACACAATAGAATGCACCAGATGGCCCAATTGATACCCCAAAATCGGGCATAACAGCAACTGATAATGCTCTCGCTCTTCGTCTGGGCGATAAAACGCCGACCCAGTGACAGATTTGACACCTTTTTAGCTGCAGCATTGATTTTGCTCTCCCAAATAGAGAGGCTATTTTCAGTGGGACTTTGATGCATCAAATGCATCCAAATTATCTCCATCTCCTCTGTAAGGCTTGCCAATTCGAGAAGTTCATCCAGGCAGCTGAGTCGTTTTAACAAAGACACCTCTCTTCGGTGGAATTTTTCCGTTAACAACCCCCAAAGTTTGCGGATTTGACGAAAAATATCATCATCAGGTCTTAGGCTGAGTAGTATTTGCATTTTTTGGTTGTGATGCGCCTCCGCATCCGCAATCATTGCTGCGTTCCTCTGAAAATCCCTCTGAATGAGAGATCTTTGTTGGCTAAGCAATTTTGCGGAAATCTGAGCTTCGCTTTGCCAGGACCGAAGGTTAGTTTGAACGCAACGAGAGTCAGTTTGGGTTGCCAAGTCAAGCAGGTGGTCACATTCAAGGAGCCAGAGCTTATGAAGTTTAGCCTTTTTGTAAAATTTTTCCAACATTTGCCTCTTCTGAGACTAAAATTAAACAAAAATGAAATTATAATAAAATTACCTATTTTGGCATTTATTTACCTCTAATTGTGTACATTTGGTCATTAGTTACTCACGACCTTAACATTCACAGAGGCTTTTCGAAAGAAAAAGCTTTGAAATTATTCTGAAAAGCTGTCTTACTTTAAAGGGATGTATCACCACTCAAAAGTAACGTTGCTGCCATGACGCCATAATTGACAGAGAAGGGAAAAGTGCGAGCTACCTGTATTTCCAGGCCTTGACGGATTTGTTCCATGCATGCCATTTCAGCTTCATCGAATTGTGCCCAGGTCTTATAAATTGTAGGATAGTCAAATCCCGGTGGCGGAGGGGGTGAACAATATCCCCAGGTAAGATTTTGCGTTCTTAAATGCAACCAGGCAAACTGAAAATGCAAAATAACTGCTTGGGTTTGTTCCCTTTTTTACTTGCGTTCGCGCAGAACAACAAAATTTGCATTCAAGAGCCAAAAAATGGCGGAATTTTTTATGACCCTCAATTGGTAGGTGTTTATTATAGAGCGCAAAATTTTTCAAAGGGTTGTCTACTTATTTAACAATTAAGTAGTTCCAGTCTGCAATATGTCCAAGTGGTGAACTTGTGTTTATTTCTTTTTATAAAACCTGTTTTATTCCAAAGGCAGAAAATCTTAAATCTACCTCCAAATGTGCATTTCTATCCCTTGTGCCTCATATTTCCACCCTCCATCTTGTCCGTATTTAGTTCACAAAGTGCCTAATAAGTGCCCAAGTAGATAAAAAATAGCTAGCCTGGACAGAGATAAACAAAGAATTTGTGCACGTGGAATGACTTAGTCAACCCATTTAATCCATGTGAAGAAAATTAGCCAAAATCTCACCTCAATCTGTCCCATTTCCTCTACTTTCTTTTCTTTCTCATTTTCTCGCCATAGGGCAAGCTTACTGGAGATGAGCTGGATATCTTTAAATTTGCTCAGTTCCACGAGATATCGAAAATTTGTTTTCATCCACCTTCGAAGGTCATAGACCTCCCTCACATATGCCATCATTCTCCGTTCAGATGTGACCACTCTATCGAGCACTACAGCCAGACGCGAAGCAGATTTTTTAAACACTTGGTCCTCGTTCAACCGATAATACCAAGTGGCCACTATAGCCACCACACAACGCTCATCATTACTACACGCAATAAAGTCAGCTGGATTGACGACAGTGGGTATTCGAAAGGCCTGTTTGGCCAAAGCGAAAGCCTCTGAGAGACGTCTTATCGGCGATGTAGTCGTTGACGCAAGAGCAGTAAAATCAATGAGATAGGGCCGGTAACGATGCAGAAGGGCGCACATTGCCAGACCATCCTTCCAACTGGAGGTGAAATTGATGATGTTGATCTAAAGACCAACCAAATATTAAAGGCCGGTACCGACAACAGTCCTCCTTTTGACTTTCCTTCATTTTCTTCATTTTTCGTTAAGAAGTTGAGAAAATAAACAAACTTATAAACTGAATTTTATATTCATGCCTCTTCCCCTATGATGAGTTTATTGCACGGGTTAATGTCAAAAGTGTTTTAAGAAAGGTGAGCACACGGATATGATCATCGAATACCCAATAGGCATACGCGGAGGAAGGTGTTTCGAGACACGCAATTACCTAGGGGTAAGGAGGCATTCCTCCAACACGATTCTACCCATAGCTACCACCCAGTACTAATGGTTTTATGGACCAAATCTCCCCTCAATGTAAAAACTGCTTTTTAAGGAAGAAAGGGATAAAATAAAGCAATGTGACAAGATATTTGGATTATCTGTAAGAAGAGTGGGGAGGTGGTTCTCATAATTACTTGCAGAGATTTACCAGAAGCAGAGCTGTACTTCGTAGGTTTATAACATAAAAAGAATTTAGCAATTTACTTAAGACCATTTTAGGCTTTTAAAAATTTAAAGGTCGCCTACAACATAAATATTTAGTTTGCTGAACAGGAAGGAAAAGAGAGAGGGGTAGGGGTCGAGAGAGATAGTATCGCACGAACTGAAAGCAGTCAGTTTAAATAACTTCTGAATAGCTGGCCAATTTATATATTTCAGAAGCGCATAATTTGTTCGTGCAATTTTTCTTCACCAGTAGTGTAATTTGTAATTTTAATAATGTGCAAACCAAACCGGATCAAAAGCCTCCATTCTCCTTCCTTAAATCTATCGTCGTAACTATTTCTGTTGAGTTGATGTAGCTCCCAGATAGAAGGAGTTCTTCCTGGAGTAATTACAACCAACGGCTTTAGCCTATACCCCGTTCAGATCAAAATTTCACCATTCTCTCTCTCCCAACTGGACAAATTCTACAACTCGCCTCAGCTTCCTTGTCTCTGGGGCAAAAATTTTTATGGGTCTGATAAAATTCACTACAGGAAGAGGCATGCAAATTTCCTCCGGATGTGGTTTTTTTTATAAATATCAACTATCTTAAAAGCAAACCTAAAAAAGCGTTATTTTGAAAACACCTACGCTAACTGTCAGTCAGGCCTAATCTAGGGAAAAGTGGCATCCCGACGCACTCATCTCTCACCCGAAATTCCTTCCTATTTCGTGGCTAAATTTCTCCCGAAGAAAACATTTTTTGGTTAATTAAGAAGTGCGAGCAAAAAATTTGCAGGACTATGTTTGATGAGTCTTCTTTCGAACCTGCGGATAGAGAGCCGTCTTCAATTGACACCATCGAAGAAGTGCATTTTTCATCTCAACCGGTGACTCCTGCTGCAGGTGATGGGTGAAGGATAGACGAGGAAGCTACGCAGGAAGTAAAGAGATAAAGGAAAGACGAAAAGAAAAACAAACAACGCAAGAATTACAACGAATCAAACTAGAAGCCTTTGGTATTTCAAAGTTTCATGCACCGTTTTTCTAGCAATTTTGCTCTTCTGAGAAGAAATCCTGACTCTTGTCTGTTCGTTTCTCCAGGGAGAAGATATAAACTTCATGCCATTTCACAGAGGCAGTAAATATGCACGGTCAGGGTTGAGGCAATAAAGGGAAAATTTTGTGCTTTGCGTCTGCAATACTTTGAAATTTAAAATTCCCCTGCAAATTCAGAGGGTTCCCATTTGCCTTAAAATACTTTGTAAGACTTGTCAAACGGCAATCGCTCGATAATTTGGTCGAAAATCTTTTGAAGGTCAAAGTCAGGAAAATTAAGAATTGGAGTATTTTGAAAGATGCTGGATGTCTAGATGACAAAATGAGAAAATAAAACGGATGGGTGGAAATATTGTTATGATTTTTGGTAGGGCTCACCTCCGAGGATAAGGGACTCTTGAAGGCTGGAAATGTGTCGGTCTACCGGTACGGTGTTACCTGCTGTGCTGTCTTTCACCTCCTCTCCCTCTACACTTTAACCCTGTTTATAACCCACTCTCTTACCTTCAAGTGTTGGTTCAACCCAGTGCATGTGACCCCACCTTGTCTGCTTCGTATGAGTAAAGTTGGAGTCGTCTGCATAAATGTGAGAGATTTAGGTGGCCCCGTTCCTCATCTACTTGGAGAAGGTACATTGTGCTGCAACCCAGCTAACCGTTCAGAAATGGAAGCGATAGGCCCGAGGAGGATGCATCGCCTTTTAAGAAGACCCAGAACCCCCGGTGAAATCTTGAATGATTGGAGAATAACTTGCTAATAAACACAATCAGCGATGTTTGGCCTGAGTGACGTCACAACTGGTTCTCGCTTTCATTGAGCAAGTCTCTACACATTAGCCGATGTCATAAGAGGCTCCCGATCCATTTGAGATACTTTTCTAAGTGTGTCGCGGTAAAAAGGAAGCCTTTTAACAGATTGGCTAACTTGCCATGAAAAATGCCTTTTATTTAAGCACTTTACAGGAGCAGAGATGTAAGTGCTTCCATCCAAATAGTTTGCGCCACTGAGGCGCAAGCACCAAGTCATCATCAAAATTGATCACTATGCATTTTTGGCAGAAGATCAAACCTGAGATCGACATATCTGCTTACCTGTTCTCCTTGAAGGGATGCCTCATTAAGAACAGCCATGACTAGTCAATCAGTGGAGAGAGGTTCCTATGCTTCCTAGGCAGTGCAAAGTCATACATCACCGTGCAACCCGGCAGCATAATTTGGATTCCAAAATGAGGGTGAGACAAAAGACCTATTCTCCAGATGCCAAGCCGCCAACTGATGATTCTTACTATATCTTCGTGTTTGACATGCCATAGAGCTCTACAAGCCCAATAGAACTGGAAAGTGATTAGGCGTTAAACCCTTTCTTAGTACCTTTTTTGGGCAAAACGCCTTACAACTGCAACATTTACATGACTAAAAATAACTCCGTTTCGTTAGACTTCGATTCAAAGATCAAGGGGTGATGATAAATCTGACGAAACACAAATCCATTTCTCGAGATATCTTCCAAGATTCCACTGCATATGGGGAAATTTCCTTCTAATTATGTGAAAACTTTATTTTCTTTTCAAAAAATTATTTGGTATTGAAGACCAAACCAATTTAAAAGTCAGTAATGAATTATGCTATTCGCGTGCAGACACCACATAGCCAGTCACTTGAAAACTTTGTGCTATATATCTCAAAGCAAAGCTCCCACGCACACAACAATGAGAATATTGTAACGTCTTATTTTCCCCATTCTGGGGTTACACCTGAGAAATTTTTAACCTCAACCCTCAAAAACTGACAGGGTTGGGGAGGCTGATTAGCACCTCATTGATAGGATCAAATAAGACCAATTTACCGATGTTTAAGAGGATCCACAATTAAAAGGTATCTAATTTGAGGGAGAAATTGGACGAATTTTCCCTCTGCAATGGACCGTTAATGTGTGCTATATGCGACGCTGACATACCTGAAAGTTGAGAATGAAGGTCCAGATGAGACCAAGGATGAGGTGGGCATTTCCATCCACTATGTCAATGGGTCCGATATTCTCTGCAGGTATGTTCATCTGTTTCATTTGATCTAGGGCTTTGCTAACATTCTCCAGTGAGTGAACACGCATTGTCCCGCGAGACAGCGTGATCTACCAAGGAGCAAAATGCGTCTTAAGACTTTTCGGTAAAAACTTGTTTATTAAGGTACATAAATGGAACTTAGCCAATCATTGTGGCCAAAAGTTATGCGGATTAACTGTAGCAGTGGTCGGGAGGAATTGCCTTTGGAAAAAATTCTGTTTATCTAGTTATAAAAATTGCCTTATGCTCAGAAGTAAAATAAAACTTAGACGAAATTCAATGTATTTTGAAAGAGTATTTTACAAATCAATGTATACATAAAAATGCTCTTCAGTTTAGGGGTAAAAACCACCCTCAATTAGTATTCACTATTGTGGAAAGAATTTTTCCAATCCTTCCTTAACGGTGGAATCACGGTAGCACCTCAAACCCCACTGAGGCGTTATGACACCCAGTCATTAGTGCTCTTCAGTGATGACACGTATTTTCCCATATTTAATATTAGGACATTCGTATGAGTGAGAGGCACTGCTGGGTGCTTCACTATCGCCACTAATCCGTTTAGCTTATTTTTCATTAAAACCCTCTGTCAATATTACCCACGTCAAGTACTCAGTGACTGCTGCATTTCCTCGCGCCTCCATTTTTCATGTCTTAGTAAATTATAATAAGTTATTGTAGCAGGCTTTGCCAAAAACTATACCACTTTATTTCTAAAGCCACCTCATAATTTATGATTTATGACGTGTAATATAATTAATTTCTGCTCGAAAGCAACAAAATTAGAGGTACTTCTAACATTAGGTGCATAATCCCACCGCGTTTTAATTCCGTGACAGGGTGTTGACTTATCAATTTCCCTACCCTTGCCGTCTGGGGGGTAAATAATATAAATTGCCCCGGTAAGTGTGGACAGTGCCAAATGGCACAATCGACAACTTGAAAGTTATGATTGATCACGCATGACTGTGAATTGTAAAAGTTATTTAAAAGGGGAAGGGTCTAAAAGCAGAATGTGGGGTGAAGCCAGGAGAGCGTATTGCATAATTACAGGCGTACAAGCGTACATCAATTCATTATTCATTTCCAAGGCAACAAAACCTGACACCTACTTTTATCAAAAGAATTTTAAAAAGACAAACTTATCATATTCTTACAAATAAATTGGAGAAGTTATAAACATCATTTGCAGATGTGTGATGATAAAATTCAAAGAGTGATGAATCTTGCCACTTCAGGTGGTGTTTACAAATAAAAGCCAGGAGAATTAAAAAAACACGTTGATTTTCACCTGCACATCACAAAAATGCATCCTGCTATACACCCCGAAAAGCCTTTAAATAAGATCAAACATAAGTTAGCAAGCTATCTATAAAGAGATGTATTTTGTTAAAAACTAATGTTCCTAATTTTTGGCCTCTCTTAAAAAATGCGGATTACTGTCAGGCAATGTTCTTCTGACATGGCTAGAAAATTCTTTGCTTTTAAGAAACATTTCGCGCTTTCCTTTAATGTGAAGGCAATTAGCTTAAATATATAGAGCTGTAAGGAAATTAAAGTGATGTTAAAACCAATGGTAATAAACTAAGAATTTACAGTAAAATAGGAAACAGCATACATGAAGCAGACAATATCGCTTGACTTGCTAAGAACTCAGACTTACTTTTCTACCAGTGAAGAACTCCAAAAGACGTAAAAGTATCCTTCCATCAGAAAGATCACTGTACAGGTCCTTTACTCTGTAGAGCGACTCACCGCCTTTAAAGATTAGGGCAAGACGAGCCTCAATATTTTCAGCACTGATGCCGCTGTTTAGGTAGCTGCTAATAAATGGCTCCTGATAGGCCATTTCATCGGCTAGCTCTAACTGCGCATTAATCCATTTCGTAAATATCTTTTTTTGCTGAAGCGCCCGAATTTCTGTAATAACAGAAAAAGCAGAGTAGCACTAATAAAACCACTTCCAATAAAGAAATTTTGGGAAAATAACGAAAAAGTGACGGTGTACTTCACTGTCAAACATATTTGACATATTTTAAAAGGAAACAAGCTATTCCTGCAATATACCCCACGAAGAAGAGCATACTTGATAAGTGATAAACTCGTGTTTTTCAAAGGTATCAGTGTTCATTGCATTCCGAAATTTTTTGCCTAGAAGTAAAAGAAGAACATAAATAAGAAAGAAAGTAAAAACTTGAAAATTTACGAAGTTACCCCACATGAGTGGCTTATCTAGGCGTTTTGATAAAGTAACTATAGTTAGAACAAATATAGGATATTAAAATCATGGATTACAACGAACAGTAATAAAACCAAATGAACGCAATAACAGAGAACAACATTTAAAAATATAGTGAATCTGTTTGAGGACGCGGAAGCAACAAAACAAAACTAAAAAATGTTAAATGCAGTACTCTTTACCGAAAAAGGCTTTATTTTATGAATAGTTATTGAAGGCGTGACAATACCAATGCAATCGCTAGTTACTTTATGTTGATTTCATATTTGCCTAGTAAAATTAACTGGACTTTTGGAAGGTCAGGTTTTATGTGAAAATGTACTAAACCAAAGAAGAATTAATGCAGGTCATGGTATTGCCTAAAGCAGAGGATTCCACACTTATTATTTGTACAGGGTTTATTTTAGGGAAAAAAGGAAACAAATGCTCTAATAGCAAAGATGTGTTTTCTGTGTTCACCAAATTTGAGCTCTATCAGATTTCTCTGTCTTGATTCTGTCACTCAAATTACTCAGTGCTTATTATTTTTCGGACCTGGCGGATCCAATGGAAACGTATTAGGTCAAAGAACTACTATGGGACATATTTTACCAATGTACGGAACAACTTAAGGTCTAGTATTACGGTCCAAAGGCCATACCTCAGGGTTCAAGCACAAACTACATAGATTGAAAAACCGACATTGTTAAACACGGATTTAGATACAAGACCAAATTGCTGCAAAAGCCGACTCTTATTTTTAGTGTCATCTTCGGGTGTTTCTCCTGGTCAACCTCCGGCGCCGATTATCGCAAAGTAGTCCACAGTTCAAACACCACCCACCAACCAGCAATGTCCTTCATTGAATTACAGTGCACGCAGGAAAGCTTTTGACCTCAAATCCACTCATTCACCTCGGCCATTCCTCTGCGTTCAGGTAGTGACCACTTTGGTTAGAAGCGCTGGTAGATCTTTTAGAACAAACTAGGCTATTTGACGAGGGTACCGAGCCTAAACTCAAGAAGAAGGATTTATCGGCAAAGTCATTCGAAAAAGACAAAAGAGAATTAGATGCATAGGAATACTGCTTTTTGTTTACTCCTCCTTGCAACTTTCATTGTGGTTCTGTTCGTGTAGCCAGCTAAGGTCCATTCAGCCAGTAGAAACGTGGAGGAGGTATTGCGTGTTTTTATAATTGACGTTTATCGTGACGTTGGAATCCAGCACTCCCTCAAATCTGCGAATGTTGGAACCAACCATTCAGTATTGGTGTTGGTGGTGTCACTGTCTGCGTAGATTTGCTTCAAGTTTAACATCTCCAGCCCTGATACGTCTTCGTCTCCCACGACTCCTTTCATGGGACGTCTTTGCCATCACACCTAAGGAATCCACTTTCACATTGTTCATTTCTTCCTCCTGCACCTCTCTCTCCATTCTGCTATTCTCCTCCTCTTTCTTGCTCTTTGCTTACCTTCTTCTACTTTTTTACCGTGCCAATCTTAATTGCCCAATTCTCGCCTCTTTCTTCTCACTCACATTCACAAGAAATTTCGGCTGTTGCATTACCTGTACCAGCAGCTCCATCCCATTCTTCCCCTACCGAGGTTTGGAATCATAATGTCCACATTTAAGTGCTTCTAGGCAATACAAAATTAAGCGACTGCTGGAATCCGATAAACTGCATATCAAATGTTTCCGTGGAGTCCTCTTCTTCCACATAATCATCGGTCTGAACTACTTTGTGACAGCTTCTATTTTGACAATTTACATGTTATTAATGGTAAAAATGCATTTCCTGAAAGTGAATTATAGCGCCTGCCTTTCATCAAACTAGATGCAACGTCTGTCACCGTCCAGACTACACAACAAACGCAGAGTTCAAATCCGCGTGATTGACTAAACACGATGTGTTCCAAGTAGGCTAACAGAAAAAACGCAGGATGGCAGACAACGTCCTTCAGCATTTCAATTGTGAGCGCGAGTTTGTGACCGAATCGTGACTTGGTGTGCATCGATTGCTTCAACATTTGAAAATCAGTGACCTGCGGCTGACAGCTGATTGTCAAATTGCAAGTGCAATTTATGCAAAAATTTGTGGGCCTACTTATCTCTTACAAATTATGCAACTTAGAGCAAGCAACTGGTGTTACAACCGGTGCATGTTTACTGCTTTTTATTTCATTAAATTGCCTCTTCACATTTGCGTGCAAGTGACATGGAAACCTCGAGATCAACTCCATTGATAACTGTCAGCGTCACTTAAAGAATGGTGATAACAGTTTACTAGCTGTTTCATGTAAAATTGTTCAGTGTTTTCGAAATTATATGGAAACAGAAATCCTTCAAAGATGTCACCAGTTGTTGCCTTCGTCCCCTTCCCTCCACTCCCCTCGCCTGCCCTGCCCTCCCCCTCGTGGCTTCAGTAGTGCCCACTTCAACGTGAACGTTAACGAACTTCTCGACTTCTGCTGGACTGAGGGTCACACGTTGGGGAAAATATGTGCAACAGCAAGTCGGCAGCAAAGGTCACGGAAGTCTCCCCTTTTGATGAGAAAAGTGTTTCGACTCTCATGATTGACGATTTAAGTGGCACGTTGTGACAGAGTTAACCACTATCATGAAAAGGGGGAATGCATTGAGTAATCTGAAACAATTTCATCTCCGAAAACCACTGGTTTCGAGAAACAATCTTCCTAAAGACACATCCAAACACACAGACAGGTGAACAGATGGACAAAGTAGCCTTACACGTTAGGCCTCCTTTCCCTCCTTCATGCCTTCGAAACCGTTCATCCCCAGTGCCTGGAATAACTTCATGTTCTTACCTTACAAAAAGAGAAGTTAGGTCAGCTTTGCCTAAAGTGGTGGAACTTATAGCGCGACAAATTAACTAGTCGCACTGCAACATACTCAACAGCGCACACAACTAATAGGAGACGAAATTCTTGAAATGCGGTACGATTACTTGACGGTTAGGATGATGGAAAAATGAAATTATTGCTACTTGTCTCATATCTGAAACCCAAGGCATTGCCCAACACCTTGCACCAGTCCCAACCTGCCAGAAATCAAGTACTACCCACTTACAATCTTCCCATTCTCAACTCGGACGATCCCTCCACCCCATCGACTATTATTCTCATCCCATTCCTCGCTAACGATGCCAAGCTGAGCCACATTAATCGCTTACACCACTTGTGTTAAGGCGCACCTTGTGTAAACAAGCCCAACGATGAAGTAGCTGACAAAGTGACACATTTCGCGTCTGCTTTCCCCAATCTCACAACACTGACTCTCCTCTAAACTAACCACACCCACACCAACGTAGTTCGCGACAAAACCAGAACTCATAGAGGACATCGCACCAATATTCGCATTCCTAACACCACCCAAGGCAGAAAAGACAACCAATATACCAAATAACCGCTCACACAGACAACAATGAAAAGCGAATGGGAAGCCGGTAAATCAGTCAGTTATCAATCAATCACCACATCAGCAGGTCAACAATCCCCTTTGTGGTAGCCTTCAAGAGGGCCGTTGGCATGCTCACGGCTGCAGACAGTGAGTCAGTCAGGCAGCCTGTCAAGCACTTGGCCGACCAACTCTTTGCTGGCCACCGACTTCTCCGTCTTCTTGAGCACCAGCACCGCCCAGATGTTGGGCAGCACACCACACTCCAATATGGTGGCACCACCCAACAGCTTGTTCAACTCCTTGTCGTTGCGGATGGCCAACTGCAGCTGACGACGAATTATGATGCTCGTCTTCTTGCTGTCACGCGCCGCTATGCCCACCAATTCCAGCACCTCGACAGCCAAGTATTCGAGCACAGCAGCCAAGTAGACCAGACTGGTGTTCCAGCACGCACACGGTGTTGACGATCCACGTACAACTGCAGGCCTCACACCGTTGTGGGAATCGTGAAGGTGAAGAGTGAGTGGCGACTGCGGTTGAAGAATGCATAGGTTACAAAGCGGCGAGACGAAGTGAGCCAATAGATGTAGCGTTGTCGACTGCACATAGGCATCCACTGTTGAATGAATACGATAGGCAGTAATCCCTATTCTCAAAGTAAAATCGGCGCTCTTCAACTACCTCACAAGTCTTTCCTTCGCAATGAATCTGGTTGCCATACAATACTTTAACAACACCATCTTTCCCCACGCACGTACTGGCAAATTTCCACTCCTGACACTACCTCTTAATACTCCGGCAAAGATAATAAGGTAGATGATAATAAAGCTGCTGCAACATTTATGAGACAGAGTAATACACCACACAACGGAGACTACCCAAATAGACAAATGTTTTACCGGGCTAGACCTCGCATACTCCTCCACAGGATACCTGGTTGATGTGGCCGAACATCTACACCCAAGTGCCACAGTAGAATCACAAACAGTATCGAACGCAGAATCCACCTCACTTTTCCTGATCGGTGAGAAGAAATACATGCGCTTGATATGCTCTATCTCAATGTACCACACGCACCAACCTGCCCCTACACCACAAACTCGGCGACATCAAAAACAACGACGCTACCCTGCATCCTTGGTCAGCTGCGATTCCAATACTGAAATGGCTGCCTGCCAAGAATCTACTGCTGCACACGTCCACCACCACCTGCGTGGCATGCATGTAGCAATTCAAACACCATGCCCAGTCCGACAATGCACCCCTCACCATCAACTCGAAGACCTTCAAGAACGAACGCCGACTGCTTCACTTTCAAGCAATCACATGGGTGTTCAACGACAATGCCACCGCCTTCTAGTTCCTAAGCGCCACAACCCCAACCACATGCAGTCACCAAAGCAGCTGGACTACAAGGTGTTTTTCCATTTCTCCTCTGAAGTAGGCCGATTCTATCAGCCAACATCTCTACTAAAAACGTCTCGCACCACCTCAAAACCACGCAAAGTGCAACATCCCCAACAAGCCCCTTCGAGCAACGACCCCACGAGATCGAAAAATTAAGCCCACAGTGTATACTACTAATGACCTAGGAATAGGCGCGCACAGACATCAGTAACATTCCATCTGACAATAATCTAAAGGCCACCACTGCATCTCGGTACACTGCCGCCATAGCCCCTAACATGTTACTTCATAGCCATACCTATTCCAAAAATTCGACCGAACCATCATAGATCACAAATACCGTCATTTCCCGAGGCCCTTCGACAATACAAACAGCTGACAACACTTTGCGGTCAACTTCAAAACAACTTCAGTGTCATCTCCCACTCTAACTTGTGGTACTTAACCGCTTTACTTCTGAAGATGTACCAAAGCCTCCAATACCATTCAAATTAACAATCCCAGACCCCATGGTAATGATTAAATAATACAATATATACTTGCCTCAGGTCTTCACCACGGTCACAACAACCGACCTTCACCATTGTCAACCACCGATAAATGTCCATAATTCTGCAGAAATATTGCAGATGCAGGGTGAGACTCGCAGGACCCTCGTCACACTCCTCAAAATGGAAAAGCACCACCCAGGGTGTCACAAAGACACATCCGCCAACTCCCAAAATTGGCAGACAGGATGGAGCAGGCAGTACAGTCTTATTCCATAGTTAAGGATCCCTAAGTTCCTTTGCCCTGCGCAAGCTGTCATTTGGCAATCCGCGTTGGCGATTGTCTAAATGCACCAACAAAAAGGGCAGTTACGCGTTATCTGCTCCTCACACCCATATCCGCCCATCAATATTTGCAGACATTGCCTTCCATTACCCATCATAAGCGGACTCCCGATCCTCCAGATCCCAAAAGTCCACCCACAGAAAAGAGACTACTCCTACAAGTTCAGGTGACGGCTACTCCCTGCCAGAGCGGACAGGCGAGTCCGATTTAAACACTCCAGAGTCTCCGATATCGATAGAAGTCAGTTCTTCTCCTCGCTCAACACAGACGAATTCGTCAATTGCAATACACGGTTATCAGATCTCTGCAGTCCCATATTTCTCATAGCCAAACCCTCAAGGTGAAATGGAAACGGTTTTCTCGGGGGATAAGCTCTCCGATTTCCTAATGTACGTTTGCCAATATTAGACGACTGCGAATATTACATTGTTGTGGTGATATACATTCCACAATCCTCTACCCAAAACATTAGGCCTCTTACGTCAACGCCTTGTAGATACTTCATGGCACGAAGAAAGTGCCACAATTGGTGAATCGAACCTGGTCTAGCCCTGCATGTAGTGACTAAAAAGTGACAATGCTCTACCTTCCAAAGGAAGAAATCTCGAGCAGGAACGGCCAAATGGACGGTGAATTCGCCTTCGCGCATAAAACTATCATAAATTTCAACAGTGCTCTAAGCTAGATTCAATAACATTAGAATTCCGATTACCTTGTAGCTTAACACTCGCCCACTTACCAAACATGGACAAGTCATGTGGAAAAGACGATTTATGAGAGCAATAACGTTAGTGGCAACAACAGCGAAATGACGAAACCCATCAGACACAAGCCCTCCAGCGATATCCGTATCGCACACGAGGAGTTATTTGACTTGTCGGCGCATTCAAACAAGAAGGCAAATTATTCCATAGTGTGCAGCTGATTCGATTTTTGTGAATTCATGCAAAAACAAATAGACTATTAACGCAGTTTTGGTAAATGACCTTTTTGCAACAAGGAATACTCATCAACTACAATTACATGCTAAGCACTAGTACAGCATTTCTGCTCTAAGTTGCGATCCTTTCGTGTGCCTGCTGTGTGATTTGGCTATTTTGTTGTTACATTTTTAGCCTCTTTTACTGCCTCTACACTTTCACTCATTTGGGTGTTTCGTTATTTCCAGCACAGGTAGTGGGGCCATATTCAAGTGGGTGTGCAAGTCGTTTGCTCCCACGTTGGTAAGTGCTGGGACATACATGTGTTATTTTGCCTTTTGAAATTTCGTGCTCTTCTTTCTGAGCTCAGGCATTAACGATGACAGTCTGAGTGTTGTATTAACACAGACTTTATTCCTAATGTGATGGTAATGCTGCGACATTGCCAAATGATAAAAACTTATTTTAGCATGTTTTTCTTGAAAAGACTTACAGCATATTTAACGTAAGGATTTGCGCACCTAATTGTTGTGGCAACTTTTGGGACCATGTGATGCTTGGAACGTTTTTAAACAATTGAAGTGGAGAATCTGCCATTTGCTCCAACGATTGATTCTTATACATTTTTTGGTCATAGCTAAATTGGTAAAACTGTGACTTGTCATCGTTAGTTAGTGTTTGACCCCAACGCGCACCTGTTAGGCATTTGTTGATCGGTAGTCAGCTTTAAGTTTGCTCTGAATTCATACATGCATATGCATTGAGTGCAGTGCTATGCAAATAAATGGAGCACTTCTGCCTCCTGGTTTTTTTGTCAATCTATAAAGATGTGACGCGTTGGAGGTTATCCACGTATTGGCTTTCACTGGATCCCGTTTCCCGATGTTGGACACAGATGGTTATTGTGGTGAGTCTTCTTCCATGCTGTCATTTGTGGAGCCCTGTAGTGATGGTGAGGGAGACGGCCAGAGTTATTGAATGCTCCTGGTTGTTTAGTTGCTACTTCCGGTCAAGGGGTGGCATTCGTCAGTATTTCATAAAGTGACCTTTTGTTAATTGTCCAATTCTGACTGGTCAAACACTGCTCTCTGAGCCACGGTTTGTAGTCGAGGGCAATCCCTCTATCATCACGCATGCGATGGGGTAGATTTACTGTAATTAATAGAGTTGGGCTGGAGTGCATTTCAGAGGGAAGTGTGTGCGCGTGTGTAGGAATCGCCTGATGACCGCTCACCTAAACTGATATATTCCTGTTTTACAGTCCCCAATTTTCCAATTGTTTTCTTTTCATCAATCTCATCCTGCAAATTTGTTGCTAATTCGCATAATCAGTGGAGACTTGAACCGACTTGCTTGACACACTTTATGCTATTTACAACATTGATGCATTTGCGTAGGCTGGGATGAGTCGTGACACCATGCATGATAGAATATCATGATCATATCAGGCAATACCATGCCATATTTCGTATTTGTGCTGGTAATTAAAATAAGAAATAGACTGTGTTAATGACAAATCTTTAAACTTCCCTTGAAGCCTGCTCATTGCTCACGATAACACTGAGTGGTGGTGCTGCAATGGTCGACGAAGGAAGCGGTCAGTGATAGCATATTGCTTTTACTTAGAGCAAATACTAGAATGCATTGTCGTAAACGCCTGGACGGTAACGATATTGTGAAGTTACCCCAACGCCCGGCTAATGTCAGGCTCATTAGAGCCCTCGAGGCGGGCCACATCGAAGATGGTCACCATAGTGGACCTTGACGGAGCTACAGGCCCCATTGCAATGCAGTGCAAGTGGAAGTCTTTGTCGTGGCAGACAGAGGGAGTTGGAAGTGCAAATTCAAAGAAGCACGCTGCACCCTAACTTTCACCAAGAAGTCGAAGATTCATGCACCTACGGTGGTGCCAACAGACTGAATCAGGGATGCAAGTCTACTAGCTTGAGGTGAGTCGCGTTGTTGAATTATCCGATCGCTATCAGGTGATTACGTGGAGTTGAGTATTGAGATAAAATATCTTCTCGCCTTAATGGAAAGTCAACATGGGATCGACCTCTCTTCTGGCTTGCGGGTGTGTTTCGAGACATTCACCGTATTGCCCTGGGAGCAGTACACTATTCTGCGGTTTTCGAACACATCATCTACTTTGTCTTGACCCCAATAGAAAATCTTGCAACCGTCTTAGTTGAAAGACGATTACCTAGTTCTAGCATTATCTTCTCCTTTTTCACCTATCAGTTACGTAACTACGTGATGGGAGAATGGATTTTGCTAGGTGTATTCGTCTGCTTGATTTACTTCATTGCGTTCATGTACAGTTTACTCATGTGGTGAACGAAGTGGAGAGAGTCGAAATTGCCTCATCTTGTTGCAGCTCTTCAAATTTACACGCACAAAATTTACAAATTTTCCTTCATCAACATGTTAAGGCACGATTTCGCCATTTTCGCTGTTTGATGCTTTGCAACAGAGAGAGAAACATGAGGTTATTTTATGTACATGTGGTTCTCGCTTTCATGGATTACTGCAATGGATTCAACTGTGAAACATGGTGCGTCCTGTAGGCGACGGTTAGATTTCTGAATGTGGTTACCAATTTTGAATGTGCATGAAGGAAGTGCTATGTCTGGCTTTGTTGCCTTTTTGCTGTTATTGTTTGGCATATTACCCACATTTAGATCCTTCCAGCAAAACTCCACCTAGGGAAAATCTTTTTGCGCCCAGTAGGACGACTCACACCTTTTGCTAGGATTAGGACCCCTTCATTGCAACCATCGTTGGTCTGGGTGGCGAATGATTCCACTAGCTTTTCAGTTCCAACCTAAACTGATGGGGCAGCTCTCATCTCTATTGGGGCCCTGGACCTCCGCACAACGACAAGTGAGTGGATTCAATTCCCATTTTCTGTCGTCATTTCTTACGTGAACTTAGATGCTGTGAGTTGCATAACTGAAATGACGTCATTCTTTCATGCTGCCACATTTAACCCAATACTGTCTTGTGATTAGGCACTTTGTGAAGTGGGATATCGAGGCCTTATGCAATGCGAATGTCAGGCATTGAGTATCGCTAATGAAACAGGCCTGACACGGTAATTATCTGGGTGATTAGCAAACCCGCTTCGCATATCCTCAAGGCACCTTGTCTCATCATGGTGGGGAGGATAGGTCACCGTCATCTCCATGCACGTAGGTTGTGTGAAAGATCGTCACACACCGTTCGAGAGTGGAGTGGAGCGCAAACATGAGATGCGTCAAGGGAGTGGGCTGCCGTCTGCTGGAATGCAGACAGACCACCTCCTATTGCAATGAACTTCGTTTGTTTACCAACAACGCCTGGTGAAAGGAGCATTTCAGTGGAGATGTGAAGGAATCCATCAAGCCTTCTCAATGCTGGCAGCCTCCA